ACCAGTTGATTTTAAACCAAATTGTCTTCAACTTTGCTCATCTTCCTGCGGTTGGTCCCTTTTCATTCAGGCATTGGTTCAAATGTCATGTCCTTAGAGAAGATTTCTCTAACCACTCTACTTATAATAGCCTACCCTCCTGCATCTACCTTACAATTTTGTCTGTGGCTAAGCCAAATTTTAGGATTGAAATATTAACATTAATTACAAAGATTTAAGAATTATCTTTAATATTTTTATTAACTAAAAATATTGTATAGGCATTTTTAAGTCCAGCTTATTTTTACTGGGGAAGAAATACAGAAATATCTTAAAGGAATCATATAGCTTAATGAATTATTAGAAACAAAATGTCTGATAAACCAGCATCCTGGTCAGGAAATAGGACATAGCCATCTCTCAAAAAATATGCTTGCATGCCTCTCTCCAGTCCCAACCCCTTCCATGCCCGAATATGTAACTGACGTCCTTTTAGCGTAACGGCTTCTTTGCTCGTCTTTTAGTTTTTAGCATTTAAGTATGCGTCCCTCATTATAATTAAGCATCATTTGCCTACCTTTAAATGTTTGGAATCAGACAGTATATATTCTTTTGTATTTACTTCACTTGGTTCAGTGTTGTTGTAAAGATGGATCCATGTTGCCCTCTATGGCTGTAGTTCTCTCATTTAGTTTGCTGTATAGTATTCAACTGTATGAACATATGACAATTTACTTGTCCATTTTATGCTGATAGATACTTGGGTTGTTTCATTTGGGCTATTAAAAATGATGTCACAAACATGTTTGTATATGTAACTTCCTACACATATACACACATTTTTGTAAGGTATGTACCTAGAAGCAGAATTGCTGGGTTATAGGGTATAGAAATCTTGAGTTTTTCTGTATAATACCCAACTGCTTGTTCAAAGCAGTTGGGTCAATATATACTCCCACCAACAGTATATCAGCATTGGCATTGTTCTTCTTTGCCAACTCTTGCTGTTATCCATCTTTTTAAAATACATGTACATATATTTTATTTTTCTCTCTCTACTTCAGTGGATGCAAATATGCATCTTTCAAATTTTAGTCGTTCTAGTGGGTGACTAGTGGAATCTTACTATAGTTTTATTTCTGCATTTTCCTGATTACTAATGAAGTTGAACACCTTTACATATGTTTTTTGGCTATTTGGATATTCTCAGTTGTTAAATACTTGCTCAAAATTCCTGTGCCCATTTTTCTGTTAGGTTGTCTTATTAATATTATTATTAATATTTCTTATTAATATTATAAATATTAGAACAATAGCAATTAAATATGTTCAAAGAACTTCTCCCATTCTGAGTTTTGTTTTTCTATTATCTTTAGTATCTTTTGATGAGCAGTTGTTCTTAGTTTCGATGTAATACAATGTATCAGTCTTTTCTGTAAGCATTATTGCTTTGTGACCTGCTTAAGACTAGAACCCAAAAGTCAAGAAAATATTCTATATTCACACAGGCCTGTAATCCATCTGAAATTAATCTAGAGTATGTGTGATAGGTGCAAAATTTAATTGTGCCAGCACCATGTGTTGAAAAGACTGTTCCTGCCAAGTGTGATTTCTATATAACATCCCCATTTAACTCACCTTTTGGGCTTGTCCAGAAGCAAGTTGGTCTTAGAAGGTAAATGCAGATTATCAAATTTAAATAGCTAGTGGCTCTAACTACAGCTGTTCTTCCAAATGTAGTCTTATACTGAAGAAATCAACATACCTCTGGGTACTTGATATCTAGCTCTGGATTTGACAAATGCTTTTTACCCTATACTAATTTGCAAAGCCACTAGAAGCAACCACAGCCCCACACTTCCACTTTAGGACTATACCTTACTTTAGGACTATATCAACTTTCTGAATCTGTGTCATAAACCAATATTCAAGGACTTCAATCATTTTAACATCCCACCAAACATGCTGATTGAACCTGGTGAAAAGAATGTAGCAAACATTCTAAATGCCTTAGAAGACACTCATCAGAGGGAGAAAGATGAAACCTATGAAAACACAGAAGCCAATTATCTTAGTGAAGTTTTTAGGGATCTAGTGTTTTAAGGTATATCCCAGAATATTCCAGTGTGAAAGGTTACTTGCTTTACCTTGTACTCCTACCATTAAGGTATGATGTTTCCTAGGTATCTTTGGATTTTGGTGGCAATATATCCCATATTTGAATGTGATACTCTGACCTATTTACTGATTAACTCTTGGAGTTACCTGTTTTGAGTGGGGCCCAGAGCAAAATAATAGGCTACAGATCCAGACTGTAATGAAGCTGCCCTGCTACTTGGGCTTTATGACCCTTAAGATCCAATAGTGTTCAACATAGGTATGGCCTACAGTGATACTATATTAGAGAACTCACAAGCCCAACAGAGCCTTAAGATTTTATATCAAAACCATGCCCTCTTCTGCAAATAATTATCCTTCTTTCAAAAAAGAGCTCCTAGCTTGCTACTTGGATCTTAGATAAAATAGAACAATTGACCATGAGACACCAATGGAACACAGGACTGGAGCTACATATCACGAATTGGGAATTACATCATTCATGAAATTGTAGACTTGGGCATGTACAAATGAAGTAATATATATGAGATCAGGCAGAAGTGTGTCCTAAAGGTACAAGTAGGCTGCATGATCAAGTGGCTCAGTTACCTATAGTAGCTACTCCTTCCGCATAGCTTCCTCTTCCTCCGTCCACACTGAGGATCTTATGGGTAGTTCCCATAACTTGATAACCACGGAAGAAAGATTTCAGTCTTGGTTTATGAGTGGTTCTTCAAAATATGCTTTAGCAATTTCCACTCCAATCTGGAGTGGCTCTGAAAGACAGAAGTCAAGAGAAATTTACTCAGTGGGTAGAACTTTGAACAATGATTCTGGTTGTGTACCTTCTCTAGGTAGAGATGCCCTGACATATAGATTTACAGTATTTCATGAGCAGCAGCGAACAGGTTGACCAGGAGGTCACAGACTTTGAAAGAACAAAATAAAAGGACTAATGAAATGGAGATCTGGACCAAAGGTATATGAATGGAGTTCTCAGGCTGAGCACAAAATGTGAGGATATTTGTGTCCCATGTGATGTTTATCAAAAAGCAACCACTGCAGAGAAGGCCTCCATTAATCAAATAGATTAGTTGAATTCTCCTGTGGATATTACCCTCTTACCCTAGCCCCCCAGTGCTTGCTTAGTGGGCTCAGGTACAAAGTAAATATGGCAGGAGGGACGAGGTTATTCACTGATTCAACAACAGGAACTTCCCCCTCACCAAGGGTGATCTTGTTACCAGCACTGCTGAGTACCTAACCTGCTATAAACAAAGACCCATAGTGAGCCACCAAAAAGGCCTCCCTTACTAAAAAACACCAGCTACCTGGTGGCTGATCAATTACATTGGATCCCTTCCCTAATGGAAGGGCCAGCAAATTGTACTTACTAAACGGGTACTTCTGGATATGAACCTGAAGTCCCTTCCTATAATACAACCAACCATGATCCTATAGACATGATATTCCTCACAATATAACTTGAATCAGAAACTCATTTCACAACAAAATAAATGTAGCAATGGATAAAATTCATAGGCCTCTCCATGTACGTAGCCACCCAGAAGTAGCTGGCTTGGTAGAATAATATAATAACCTATTAAGACTCAGTTATGCTGCGTACGGTGGCTCACACCTGTAATCCCAGCACTTTGGGAGGACGAGGCAGGTAGATCACGTGAGGTCAGGAGTTCGAGACCAGCCTGGCCAACATGGTTTAGTAGAAACCCTGTCTCTACTAAAAATACAAAAATTAGCCAGGCATGGTGGTGTGCATCTGTAATCCCAGCTACTCAGGAGGCTGAGGCAGGAGAATCACTTGAACCTGGGGGGCAGAGGTTGCAGTGAGCCAAGATTGTGCCACTTCACTCCAGCCTGGGCCACAGAGGGAGATTCTGTCCCAAAAAAAAAAAAAAAAAAAAGGACTCGGTTATTAGTCCTGGTGGGAGACAAGCCCTTGAAAGACTTCAGTGCTCTTATACAAAATGTAGCATATAGTTTGAACCAGTGATCAGCATACAATTTTATTTCTCCCATTGCCAGAATACATGGGTCCAGGAATCGAGGAATAAAAATAGGACTGATTCCTCTCAATATTATACTTAATAACCCTCTCACAGAATTTCTAATCCTCATTCCTGTAAATTTGGACTATTGCTAGTTTACAGGTCTTAGTTCACAAGGAAAGAAAGCTTCTACCAGAGCACATAAAATGATTCAAATGAATTGAAAATTGAGACTGATGCCTAGATATATTGGGCTTCTTATGACACTGAACTGAAAAAACAAAGAAAGAGATTCTTTTGTTGGCTGGGGTGACTACAGGGATATTGGGTTGCTGCTACACAAGGGGATCAAGGACCCCAGGGGAATCTCTGGATTGCCTCTTAAGACTTATTTCACAGTGAAAATTAGTAAGCACCCCAAATACTAAGGGTTCAGACCCATCCAGAACGAAGATTCAGCTACTCTACCAGGGAAAGAACACTTGCCAGCTGAAGTGCTGGCCAGGACCAACAAAAAATTAAGTAGAGGAAGAAGTTACAAATATCAACTGCAGCTTCATGACCAGTTACAGGAACAAGTACCAAAGTCATTATGTAACTATGCTTCACTGCTTTCTATATATCTTTGTATATAGCAACTGTTTTTTCCTTCCCCCCTCAAGCCATAGGAGTAGCGATAGTGAACTTTACAGTTTAATCTTCAAGCTACAGAATATCCAGGTGGGACTGTGACTAAACTAGAAAAATTAACAGCAATAAGAACAATCGTAACTGGTGAGACTTTGTGTCTCCCCTTTCCAAGGGAATGGTGAGTTTCATATTTAAACAACAGAGTTAAATCTACATAGACAGAAGCATAAAACTGTTATATTGTTGCAGAGAAATTTAAATATGGGTAGAAGGATGTGTGGGTACTTAACAGCCGAAAGGAAGGGTTGTGCTGGTTGGTTGTTTTCTGTGGGCACTCAGCCCTCTCAACATTTCACACGCATAGCTATCCTTCTACAGTCAGCTCTGTTCTCCTGAGGCTGAAATTCTGCGATCTACATTCCCCAGACTTCTTTGCCAGCTTGATTCCTGTTAGGCTTGTCAATAGAAGGCACTTCTGGGAGATCAGAAGGTAGCACAGATAGCACTGTGATCCTTGTTGGCAGCTGGTACAGTGGCAGCCAGGGTGGAGTGATTCCAGATTCCAGTGGACTAGAGACAGTGCCTATTAGCAATTTTAGCTCTGGTCTAGGCAGCATTTGAGCAGTTTCCAAAAGTGCAGTACCAAATACAGGCTATTACAACAGTCTTCAATAGTGCAATAGCAGATGTAGGCTCTTAGCAGTGTCTGAACTCTGAGTGTCTCATCCTCCTCTTTTTTTTTTTTTAATCCAGCCCCGCTCCCTCTCCTTTTTACTCTTAAAGCCTGTTTAATTTGTAATTGATGTCTGTTTTAAATTTACTGTTTGAAATGCCTAGACTAGTTTCTAATTTCCTAACTGGACCTTAACTGATTAACCATCGCTCGAACTCTTGCATTTTTCAGTTCCAGAATTATTCTTTTTTTTTGAAATAGAGCTTCACTCTGTCACCTAGGCTGGAGTATAGTGGCACAATCTCAGCTCAGCTCACTGCAACCTCAACCTCCTCAGTTCAAGCAATCCTCCCACCTCAGCCTCCTGAATAGCTGGGACTATAGGCGCGTTTCACCACGCCCAGCTAGTATTTTATGTATTTTTTATAGAGACGTGTCTCATCACACTACCCAGGCTGGCTTCAAACTCCTGAGCTCAAGCAATCCACCCACCTCAGCCTCCCAAGTTCCTGGGATTATAGGTGTGAACCACCACAACCAGCTGATTTCTATTGCCTGTTTTTTTCTGCTATTTCTCACTACTATCTTGTCTCTTCATATATCCAGTTACCTCTGATTGTTTGCTAGATACCGAATTTTAAAATAATTCAGATGTAATTCGAGGCATTAGGAGGACGTTAGCTTCCTTCAAAGAAAATTTGGAAGATTTGAGAGCATTAGAATCACAGAGACCTTCATCCAAGTTGAAGAGTTAAGATTTTCTAGACCCACCAGAATCCTCAAACCTTACCTATAGTCTAGCACAACTGGTTTATGTACAGTTCACCCTTATTAACACAGTGTAGCCCTTTGGGGGTCCTAACTCTTGGCCCCATCTACTTTTTCCTCAGACCCCATGTTTACTCCCTAGATCTACCAGCTGCAAAAACGAACTCACCCCTTCAGCTAACTATTGCAGAGTGGCAAACGTACCCATAGGAAAAAAAATAGCCCCAGGTGCTGGGTTTACTTCTCTGGATTCCTCTCCCCTCCAGGGTTTAGCCCAGCAATTCTCACTGTCTAATTGACTTTGATTCTTTTAAGAGGATGTGTTTTATATTTTGTTTTTAGTTTTCTTCAGTGAAAAGCTGGTCCACCATTACTGAAACAGAAGTCTTACTTATCTTTTCATAAGTATCTCAAGCTGAAAGAAAGCAGCAGAGTTTGAGGCAAAAATATCAATGTAACTAATTAAGAGTCTCTAATAATAAAGAAATACCAAAGACAAATAGCCTTGTGGTATATAATTTTAAATTTTATTTTATCCAGAGGTCAAATTACATTTATATAAACCGCTAACTCTGTCAAGGTTTACTTTTCCATTCTGATGTGTATGTATACACCAAAGACTTAGATGTAAACATCCAAGAAAGTAATAATAACCAATACTTTTTAAAAACAATTTTAGCAGATAGAAATATCATTAAGTTAGAGAAAGTCATTACAGTGAACATTCAAGTTGATCTGATTCAAACTCTTCTGTAAAGAGTCCAATTTGAAGATGAAAGGCTAAAAGGGCACCAGAAAGCATAAGCAGAAGGATATTTTTGCAGAGAAGAGTCCAGGGAAAATGTTGTTATGATCACCCTCAATCCATCTCAATCATATGGCCAATATTCTCAACTCTATTCCTTTTCATTACTTTTCACTGAAACTACAGGAAATCAAAGGAAGGGGTAATAATGAGCAGCCCCAAATTTTCAGACCTATTTTCTCAGTTCTGCATTCCAGAAGGGAAGCTTCTCCTTGCTATTCATGCTCTTCCCATAGAACAATCTAACCACATTTACCAGTTCTCCAAAAAAAAAAAAAAAAAAAAATCATAAATACGCCAGAATGAGATTAAATAAACTGAGAACCTCCTCATTAAAGAAACTCCATAAACAGATAGGTATAAATTACAAAGGTACCTGAAAATAAGACAATCAGATTGAACTGACATCATCACAGACAAGTACTATCAGGAAACACTGCTCAGCCTGCCACAATGTTCTCCTCACTTCCCTCCACGATCAGTTATAATTGTATAATGATATCACTATACTTCATAAGTGGCAGTGAAAGGGATTCACTTGGCCTTTCTTCCATGACTCAGCCCCTTATTTTAGCAGGCCAAGTGGCTTCATGCATACAAATATCCTTTCTGAGATATAAATGTCTACTTACATTTTTATTACAGATTTTAATATAAGTTTTATCTTATGGCCTCTTCTCTCATTAGGTCATGATAAATATATTTTACCATGTTTTGACAGATTTCATAAGAAAGAAAAAATAGTATTGGCAAATAATTTCCTCCATCTAGCAAGCCAGGTTCGTTCTATATAAACATTTTTCTTCTTATAAAACAAGAAGGTCAATTTTTCAAATAAGAATTTTAATTGGAATCAAATCTCTAGTCCTAAGACTAGCAAGTACCATGCTACTCTAGAACCCTCTCAAAAAGAAACTGTATATCTGGTTCTATAGAACTTTGTATTTAAACTAACAATTTATGCAGTTCCATAAAAAAATCAGTGTTGTATTTTTCTTAACATTTATTAAAACATTAGACATAAGCTGAATGGGGGAAAATGGTGATCAAATACTAAAAATATAAACACAAAAAAAGTAAACATAAAAACAAATCACTTTTTAAAAAATCATTTAATTACAAGAAAATTAGCCAGAAAATTGCATAGTTCCAAACAAATTTTGTCCATAAAAACAAGTGTTCATTTACCATCTTTTAAATTTTATCTTTTAAATAATGTCTCATCTACTGAACCTAGCCTTTCCTGGCAAACATTATAATATACAAGTTTTCTTCATGTTTAATATTTCATGAAACAACTGGCTTTTGTTCCTGAAGTTAGGATGATGCCTATCATTTTATTTCAGAGAAACTTCAAAATTACTCCCTGGTGACTATTTCAATTAACTACTCCCAAAATCCAATGCAAAAACAACAAAAAACACTGCTATTTTACTAAAAGATTTCTGTCTTCCATTTCATTTTACCAGCGCAAGTACAAATTCAGAGAAAAGCTTCTTAAGTCCTGCAGCTTCAAATTCCTTTTGTAATTCATCCAACGCTGAATACTCTTTGACTTCAAATGCCAAAAACCTGCATTATGCAAGAGAAACTCATGAATATGCCTAGATTTGTCAGAGTATAATTATCGATTCGGTTGCTTTTCCATCTGCAATAGTACTAAATTATACCTTTTGTGTTCTGTCTGTACTTTTGTTTCAAACAGTACACTCATCATTTTCTCTTTGCATTTCTTTCCACTTGAGTCCACATCTACTTTGGAGGTTTTCTGAAGAATCAGGTACTCCTAAATAATAAATCAGTACATTAAATACATATCTTACTCTGAATCTCAAAGTCCTCATTTTAAATGAGCCATAAACCTATAGGCTTATTTTCATACTTAAAGAGTACTCTCTTTTTTAATCAAGCGGTAAGAATTTTTACATACTTGTTTTTACATACTTGGCAGAATAATGCAGTGGTGGATACTGGAGTAAAGAACAATATAATCCAAATCCTCAAGTTTAAATCTGGATTGAACTGCCTACTAGTTCTTACTCTGGACTAGTTATTTAAATCCTCTGTGGCTCAGCTGCCTTCTCCATAAAATGGGAGTATAACAACATGTTATACTCATGGGGAAGTTGTACTGATTAAATGAGATAATACATGCAAAGCACTAGAGGAGTACCTGGATATAGCACCACAGCACACTTGAAAGCACAAGCTACTGTTCTTACGGTTACAAATTCAGCAGCTAAATGACATTGCCAGGCACATAGCACTTACCATTCCAAGCTGATAGCATCTATAAATACGTACCTATACATTCTCAATCCTGATATAAAATCTTACAAAAATATAAGAGAAATGTACATAAAATGACATTTTAGAGACAGCTAAAAAAAGATCTCCTAGAAAAGTATTATTTCTCTACATTAGCAGAGTTCTAGTAAATATGAATAAACACTTGTTAATTAATTGACGTTTCAATCTGAGTAACAACATCTGCAAAACAGCTGTGTTTAGCCTAATATTCCTGAGCTGGCTTGAAGAGAAATCTGAGCCTAAAGGTAAAGATGAGCAAGAAAATTAATTTTTATTTATTTTACCCAATAGTCAGCTACTATTTTACCCAAAAGGATCAAACGTTATAGATATACTACAAATCACTTTAAAACAAGTGGTTCCTCAGCCCCAATCCAAGATAAATCTTAAATCTGAATTATTGTTGTATCTATATATGTTAACACAGCACGAGTCTGGTTAACCATATGCCAAAGTAGTTTTGTGGTAAAAGCCCATAATGAAAAAACTAGGTCATTATTCTACAAATCTTTAAGATTACAGGCTGTTCACACTAAATTTGTCTTAAATAAATTCAAACGTAAGTATTCACGACCTATCTGAAAGTGTAAAACCTATTAAGTGATTTGTAGCGCTTCTAAGATTTATAATAAACAGCTTTCCTCATCTTGTCCCACCTAAAACAGGTCAGATGAGTTTAGAATAAGAACTTGAAAAATCTGAAGAAGATGATGACTTTGAAAGCAACTGCTGAGACACGTCAGGTGGAAAGCAAAAGTTAGGTAGGAGGTGACAAGTTGACAGCCCTAATGATTCTACTTCTACTAACATGAAATCTCGGCTATAACAGACAAGCTCCTCTTTCCAGGTATTATAGATACCAAATTAAAGTGTCAGAATGTATTTTTAACAGCCAGAAAGTTACAAATCTTCCAGACTATCCACAAATACATACCTCGCTGTGCCTCACTATGGGAAGAAACATTAATATGCACAAACTGTTAGTGCACATTTATAAAGTTCAGGCTCATAGCTAATTACAGAAACAAACACTCATGTGCCACAGAGCTTTTAAAATAACCTGTCACTTTATTAAGTGACATGATTTTTACAATATAATCTTACTATTCAAGCTTTGCAAGTTTGTACTTGTAATTAGCAGTCAGACATTCTTTAAAAAGAAAATGAAGATCCATTAAGAAGGTAATAATGAAAGAAGAAACATCTTAATAATTAGTCTATCCCACTGTTATAAAACACACTTAAAGACACACCATTTTAAGCAGAAAATAGCCAGATTCATACTCAACATTTAACTTTTTGGCACCTTGAGGTTGTTTCTGTCTCCTTGTAGTAAAATCAGTATCATTTTACCCATGAACATCAGTCTTCCTGTCAGCCTTAAATCTGAAGCCCACTTCTCCACAGTTTTGACATATTTAGTCTTTGCTCTCATGTGATCTAAATGCAAAAGAGTTATCCACAATCCATCATCCACGGTCGTGCTTGTTGAAAAAGTACATTCTGCGTTGCCACTTCCAGTTTCCGGTTGGTTGAGGATATGCCTGAGATTCTGCTGAATCCAGAGAACCAGCTCATGAACCATAGGCTCTGACAAAAGGCTCTCTGCTTGCTCAAGTAACTTCTCTTTCACAGTCACACACTGGGCCCTGGTCAACTGTTCAGAGTTAACCGAGATACCAGGTAGACATGAAGGATAATTGACTGGCAAATGGAACACCAGTTCCAGAGGTATATCCGCATCCGTAAATCCTTCAGCTTTTGTGTGAATTCTGAACACGGTTCCATCTGTCTCTGGAAGGCATGCAAAAATAATCATTAGCTGTATGTACATTATTCAATTTTAATGGAACACTAGTAAGTTCAAACTTTTGTTTCAAATGTCAATTTATTTTTCATGAGAAAACTCTGAGCTATTTTATAAAGGAACATGTAATACTAGGAAAACTATGATTTACAAATTATTTCCTTCAACTATATCCATATATTCATGTATTCACACACACCAGCACTCTCGACTTAACTGGCATTTACACTTACTATCACCCCATTTTTATTAAGTTACCAAAAAGGCTTTTCATCATATAATTTTTTCTTCTAGCCAGACTTAGCTGATAATTCTGAAAATCCCTAATAAACTCATATAAGCTTTCAAAGATACAATACCACGTATATATAAAATCAGGAATTAATTAAAAAATTATACATGAAATCCAATGAAAGTCATTTTATGGTAAGTCCAAGTAAGTCAAAGCAAACAATGCAATCCCACATGATTGTCGGGTTGCAGAGAAACTGATGACTGCATGTGACACAGTAACTGCCTGGCCTGCTCTCCTCTTATTTCAAATATATTAGTATCAGTGTAACATGAAGGTAGCAAGATGAACTGAAATTGAGTGGCCATCAATTCTGCCTCTTCCAGCTCCTAAGAAGGAAGGGGAAAGCACACACAGGATATCAGATGAAATCCTCTGCTCTCTTTCAGATTTGCTCGGCTTCACCCTCTGATGTGTTCCACACCACTTCACGCCACTTTTCAAAAAGATGATAAAATGTCAGGCTGAGTAGAACAGAACTGGGTGCAAATAAATCTCTCTGAAGCTAACTTGCCTCTCTCCACCCCTGCTTCTCTCTGCACGTGCCCTTGCTTTATTCCTCTGCATGAGAGAAGCAGTCAAATCTTTCCCATTTTCGTACCTGGATTGCTGCTCAACAGCCTCAACGCCTGAAACCTGACTGTATCCCCATTTTAAAGAACCTAACTGAACATTAAAATTGCTTCCTAGCCTTCTGATTCCACATATATAAAAGCCATTGCTACAGACATTGATTCATACAGGACCAAACACATCTATTAGAGTTTTTCTTTCATACACTCTTCAGTACCACCTTCAAGGAACTACTATTTTAGGTCATCATCTGAAAACACATACAGTTAACTGTTATAAAGAACATGTTAAAATGGTACAATTTATATTTGTATTACATAAGTAAAATGTATACTGTATACCATATAAAGAAAAATTTTCCATATCTAACTTTGTATATTCCTCTAAAATCCATCATGTTTCTTAAAACCCTTCTTTCTTCTATCTAGTAACTTATTCTTTTTTTTTTTTTTTTTTTTTTTTGAGACAAAGTCTTACTCTGTCACCCAGGCTGGAGTACAGTGGCATAATCTTGGGTCACTGCAATCTCCACCTCCCAGGTTCAAGTGACTCTCCTGCCTCAGTCTCCCAAATAGCTGAGATTACAGGCATACATCACCATGCCTGGTTAATTTTTGTATTTTTAGTAGAGACAGAGTTTCTCCATGTTGGCAAGACTGATCTCAAACTCCTAACCTCAGGTGATCCTCCCATCTTGGCCTCCCAAAGTCCTGGGATTACAGGTGTGAGCCACTATACATAACCTAACTACTTATCCTTTTAAAAAATATATTTTATTGTTAAAGTAGGCTGCCTATGTTAAATCAGTGCATTTCAATAAGTAAAATAGACATTACAAATAGAACAACAGACAACACATGACCATTTAGGCAAATAAACTTTGTAGTAATCATCTAGAGAGTTAACATTCTCTCTTCAAAGAGGAGGAGAACTTTTAAAGATCTTCATTCATGCATCATTCAACAAACATTCACTGAACACCTACTAAGCTCAAGGCACTACTAGTCTCTGAGGGAAATGATAGGTAAGATACAGATCCCATCATAGTGACTCAATCCAGTGTTTCAGAACATGAAAGGAGGACATATCCCAAGTGATCTTCCTTGACTTCTCTTCTACATCTAAACATTTCTTTATTCATACATATGCATACATATACACATACATATAATTTATATAAACATAAATGCATGGTGGTAGATAATTCTCCAGGGATCTGGCATTTCTGAATGCCTTCTGAGCAAAGGGCATCAATGGCTTTGTTTAAGAACATTTGTGTAACTGACAACCTTGGAAGCTAGAGTTTCTCACTCCAGATCAGGGTGCAGATTTGTTTCCTAAGCAATATAAAATAACATATTCCTCGGGACAAAGATTGAGCAGGATCACTAACAAAACCCTCATAACACCGGAGGGTTCCTAAGTTCACTGCTCCTCAGGTATAACAAAGACCCACTGAGTGCATAGTGTGTACATCTCAGTCTACCTCCACATCACTCCACTGGACTTGGGGGACAAGGAGAATCAATGTGAACATAAAGCTAATGCTGCCTGCTGTGCAGTAAGCAGTAACTGCCCAAATCCATCTGGGTTCACTGTCTCCTTACCGGCTGAATCATGGAAGTGTGCTAGTGACCAAGGACATGCAGTTGTAGCTGCTGCCTAGCAACTGCTGGGCCACTTGATAATATACTTTTTAAATTTAGTCATCTTGCTCCTTTTCACTGTTTAATCTGAGAAAGAAGTGTCTTCCTCCCTTCCACAGGAAACACTATCACTGTTCTTGTGCTTGTTTGTTTTTGTTTGCTTTTTGAGACTGGGTCTCACTCTGTCACTCAGGCTAGAGTGCAGTGGGATGATCACGGCTCATGGCAGCGTCCACCTCCTGGGCTCAAACAGTCCTCTCACCTCAGCCTCCTGAGCAGCTGGGATTACAGGCATGTACCATCATGCCTGGCTAATTTATTATTATTATTTCTTGTAGAGATAGGGGCCTTGCTATGCTGCCCAGGCTGGTATTGAACTCGTGGCCTCAAGCAATCCTCCCTTATTGGCCTCCCAAAGTGCTGTGATTACAGGTGGTATGCCACCACACCTGGGCAGTGCTTGCATTTTCTATCCCTCCCTCTCATTATTCCTCTCCTCCACTAACAAAATATTTATTTTCTCCTTGCATAAAAAAGAATTCAGTGCTACTAATTCCCTTAAGCTACGGACCTATCATTCTCTATCCTTTTATCTGCAGTCTTCTTAAAATATAATTCTCTCCACCTGCATCCATTTTCCCACCAGCCACTCTCTCTACAACTACTTGTACTGTGGCTCCTGACATACCTTCTCTCTGAAGCTCCTTTCTCAAACATTACCAATGGCCTCCTAATTGCCACTGTGCAAGAAAGAGAAAACTCGGCAGGAGTGGGTTGCTCAAATTCTGCACATTCCCATGATCAGCCTGTCTTTAGGACTCGCCCATGGCTGGCTCCTGAGAGCTGAGCTCAGAGTCCTGGTAACATTCTGCCTGTTAAGAGTATGGGTTTGTTTTCTGTTCTGTTTTGTCTTGTTTTTCCATGTCTGAAGTGTTGGACCACATAGTGTCTGTTTGATTAAATGATTTAGGCTAACAATGTGATTTATGGTAAATCTTCTTGCTCTAGAAATGAGTCACAGAGGTACTACACGCTGAAAAGATTGACCCCCAATTAAAATTCTGACAAGGAGGCTCAAGTGAGTGTTCCCGGTTAGGAACACATCTCACATGTTGTTACACTTGATTGCTAAGAAAATTAAGCATGTGTGTGTGACTCTTCTGGAGGGGACATCTGGAGCTTGCTCCCAGTTTCTCCCGGACGTCATTCCATGCTAGTCTTTTCTTTCCTGCTTTTAGTCTGTATCCGTATGCCGTAATAAACTACAACCATAAATATAGCAGTGTTCCTGAGTCCTATAATTCCTTCTGGCAAATCACTGAGTATGAGGGTGGTTTGGGCACCCCTGACATAGCCACATTCGTGGCTACCTTTCTACAGCACCCAAACCTGCTGAACCCATCTCAAAATTCTCTCTTCCCTTACCTCCCAGACACCACAGTGTCCTGATTCTTTTCCTATGTCTCTGCTCACCACTGAACTGTTTTCTCTGCTTTTCCTAAACCCTAAATGACAGCCATTCTGTAAAGCATAATACCATGAATAACTTTCTTCCTCCAGTTATCTAGGCATAGTTTTTTTTTATTGTTTGAGATGGAGTCTCACTTTGTTTCCCAGGCTAGAGTGCAGTGGTGTGATCTCGACTCACTGCAACCTCCGCCTCCCAGGTTCAAGCAATTCGCCTGTCTCAACTCCCAAATAGCCAGGATTACAGGCACCTGCCACCATGCCCAGCTCATTTTGCATTTTTAACAGAGATGGGGTTTCACCATGTTAGCCAGGCTGATCTTGAACCCCTGACCTCAGGTAATTTGTCCCCCTCAGCCTCCCAAAGTGCTGGGATTACAGGTGTGAGCCACCACACCCAGTCTAGGCATAAAATCTTAAAGCTGACTTCCACTTTTCTTTCCCCTTTCTTGTTTCATACTTAACGTTCAACTGCCAAATCCCACAAGTCCTCCAGAATTTCTCTCCCTTCCACTCACATGACCACCCTCCTAATTCAGGCCTTTCTCCGGCTTCTGCAATAGTGGTCTCCTCGCTGTCTGCCTCTCCCCACACCAAATCATCCCAATACCACTCTCCCAGATGAAAAATGAATTACAAATTCCTCCATGCAACACCTAGGGCCAGCCTACCACTCTGACTTCCTCTCTCCTCACTCTTTGCTTCAACTACCCATTTTATACCATGTCCTCAGTCTTGGGTGTCCCATTTCTGCCTCTTGCTCCTACTATCCTATCTTCCAAGAAGGCCCTTAACTTTCTGTCTACTAAAATTTTGTCCAGCTCCACAGTTCCTCCCTAAGTCCCGCCTAATGATTTCCATGGTATTTCAAACTTATTTTATGGTATTTTCATGCCCAGAATTATTGTGGTTAAGCTAAATTAACATTTTCTCCAGCACTGAAATATCTCAATTTTCTTCTTAAACAAAACACCAAAATGGGGCGGGAGGGATACAAAAAACTTTTACA